AGTATTTCCAAAACAAAATGTATAACGACACTAAGTAGAATAAAAAACATAATTAGCTTTGTATCAGTTTGGGGTAGGCTCTGTGGTTAAATTAATTTGTACCAAACTGATTTTTTTTTTTAATGTTTAATTTAAGGCTGGGTGTGGTAGCTTAAACCTGTGATCCTAGCACTTTAGGAGGCTGGGATGGGAGGATGGCTTGAGGCCAGGCTAGCCTAGACAACATAGTAAGACCCCATCTCTAAAAAAAAAAAACAAAACAAAACTCAGCCAGGTGTGGTGAGTCCCAGCTACTCGAGAGGTGGAGGCAGAATGATGGCTTGAGCCCAGGAGTTCGAGGCTGCACAAGCTATAATTGTGCCACTGTACTCCAGCCTGGATACAGAGTGAGACCTCATCTCAAAAAAAAGTTCAATTTCATATTTCAAAAGAGTTTTTAGGGGAAAAAAGAAAAAAAAATCAATTTCAGAGCTTTTGGGGGTTTAGAATTGTGGACTAATAGTTACAAAGATAAACAGTGTAACAGATGAATGGGAACATTTAAAAACTAGTTACTATGGGGTTGGGGAATGTGATGGGAGGGCAGGATAAAATGATACTTCATTAGGAGTCCCTTTTCACCTACTTAAAATGTTTGCTTTTTGGCCCGCGCGGTGGCTCACGCCTGTAATCATAGCACTCTGGGAGGCCGAGGCGGGCGGATTGCTCAAGGTCAGGAGTTCAAAACCAGCCTGAGCGAGACCCCGTCTCTACCATAAAAATAGAAAGAAATTAATTGGCCAACTAATATATATAATATAAAAATCAGCCGGGCATGGTGGCTTGTGCCTGTAGTCCCAGCTACTCGGGAGGCTGAGGCAGGAGGATCGCTTGAGCCCAGGAGTTTGAGGTTGCTGTGAGCTAGGCTGATGCCACGGCACTCACTCTAGCCTAGGTAAGAAAGCGAGACTCTGTCTCAAAAAAAAAAAAAAAAAAAAAATGTTTGCTTTTTTTTTTTTGAGTCAGAGTCTCACTCTGTTGCCCAGGCTAGAGTGCTGTGGCATCAGCCTAGCTCACAGCAACCTCAAACTCCTGGGCTCAAGAGATTCTTCTGCCTCAGCCTCCCCAGTGGCTGGGACTACAGGCACGTGCCACCGTGCCCAGCTAATTTTTTCTATATATTTTTAGTTGTCCAATTAATTTCTTTCTATTTTTAGTAGAGACAGGGTCTCGCTCTTGTTCAGGCTGGTTTCGAACTCCTGATCTTGAGTGATCTGCCTGCCTTGGCCTCCCAGAGTGTTAGGATTATAGGCGTGAGCCACCACGCCCAGCCTCAAAATGTTTTTTAACTATGTGAATGGATACTGAAGGTAATCACGAGCCTGCTCACCTGTCTGCAGATATGCTATATACATGTACGGAGACATATGCTAGGTTGCTATTGATCGGTTAATGCCATGCATTGTAATAAAGATTCTCTAGCATGGAACTAATCTTTTCTTTCAGGAACAAAACCCATCTGGGCTGGGAGCTACTGCACTGAAAGTTCTATTAAGCATGGTGGCGCTCCATGTGCCAAGGTCTCACTGAGGATTTTCACATGGTCATTCATAAATGAGCTATAGTTTTCTTTCTGTGTTTTGGCTGTCTGTCCAATTTTGACACCAATGTACAACATTTTGAAATCTTCCCCTCTTTTTCTGAAACTGCTCTGAAAAAGTTGAAATGGCAATGGAATCTGCTTCTAAAAGGCACAGTTACTCTGAGGAACATCTGGGCTTTGTGCTTTCATGGGGAATATAACCTTTTCTCTCTTCTGGGGGTAAGTGCTATCAATTTATTTTTCTATAAAACCGTTAATTGTATCCAAAATTTCAAAATCACAAGCACTGAGTTGAGAAAAGTAGTCTTTTATAATTCACGGATGGCATGAAAACTAAGGGAGGAACAAGGTAATCCAAGGAGGTGTATAAAAAGAACAGAGCCCATGGGTCCTTCAGAATGTAAGAGCCCAGGAAGAGATGAGGAAGCAGCTCAGAGCCTACGAGGTAAGCAGGCAAGTGCTGGGCCAAGGTTGCTAGGAGATGGGCAGTGGAAATGTATTAACAAAAATAAAAAAAAAAGAAGACCTAAGATTCCGTCTGACCATCCAATTCCTAAACCATGCACAGAGTGCATAGGAAGAGTGAAGGAGGCTTCCTGCAGCAGTGCTCTGCCCAAAGAGAGGACAGGACAGCTCTATGCCCTCCAGGGACCAGCAGCATTCTGTGGGGAGGAAACTGCCATCCCTCCACCTGGGAAAAAGTTAGGGACAATTATGGAAGGCTCTCCACGGGAAGAAGCACCTTAGGTAGGCCTGGAAGGAAGATGAAATTCCACAGAGTATGAAAGGCAGAGAAAGGCAGCACAGGCTGTGAGAGTAACAGCAAGAGCACAGAGGTGAGAAAGGCCCAGAGCACGTCAGAACCACGGTGGATTTGTCTCAAGAGGACATCAGGCAATCAGTGGGAGAAGAGACAAGGAAAGGGGGGCTCCTGGAGGGGCTCAGTGCCAGGAGACTCTGACTATGCAAGGTCTCAGGCAGCAGCTCTCAACTCTGTACCACCACACACCGGGGCAGCAACGTCAGCTACAAGGAGCACTGCAAGTGAAGTAAAACCCTACATCTCAAAAGCAACTTCTGTTCTTCACAAAATAATTCAAATAGTGTCCATACTGTCCTTTTCAGGAAGAGTGGTGTGACAGTCACAGTCAGCATGGCCTGAAGGGCTGGGAGGAGGTGCCCAGGATGTCCCACAGGCTCCACAACCCCCTGCCAGCCTCTCCTCACAGGCCTTAAGCCCCTCTGCAGGTGGCTCTCAGCTCCTCACCCTGCCCACTGTCCTGTATGAAGCTTATTAAAGGCCTCAACTGAACCCCCCAGTGAACTGAAAGGACTCTGCTGGCCCTGGACACGTCTGCATCAAGCCATTACTGGGTCATATTCTCCATAAACTCCTTCTGGAGACAGGAGGCACTTAAATCATAATGAAATATTTTGCTCAATAGTTCCTAAAGTCATAAAAAAAGAGAGAGAGAGAGAGAGAGAGAGAGAGAGAGAGAGAGAGAGAGAGAGAGAGAGAGAGAGAGAGAGAGAGAGAACTACAACCAAGCCTTTTTTTTTTTGAGACAGAGTCTCGCTTTATTGCACAGGCTAGAGTGAGTGCTGTGGCATCAGCCTAGCTCACAGCAACCTCAAACTCCTGGGCTCAGGCAATTATCCTGCCTCGGCCTCCTGAGTAGCTGGGACTACAGGCATGTGCCACCATGCTCGGCTAATTTTTTCTATATATATATTAGTTGGCCAATTAATTTCTTTCTATTTATAGTAGAGACAGGGTCTCGCTCTTGCTCAGGCTGGTTTCGAACTCCTGATCTTGAGCAACCCGCCCGCCTCAGCCTCCCAGAGTGCTAGGATTACAGGCGTGAGCCACCACGCCCGGCCCAAGCCTTTTTTTTTTTTTTTTAAATTTATTTTAGCGTATTATGGGGGTACAAGTGTTAAGGTTACATATATTGCTCATGCCCCTCTCCCCCCTCCAGTAAGAGCTTCAAGTGTGTTCATCCCCCAAACGTTGCACATCTTACTCGTTTCGTTGTATATACTCATCTGCTCCTCCCCCCTTCCACCCTCTCGACACCGGATAAATGTTACTCCTATATGTCCACTTAGGTGTTGATCTGTTAATACCAATTTGCTGGTGAGTACATTACAACCAAGCCTTGATGACAAGAATTATCAAAGAGAATCAAGATTGGAATGACCTGGGCTTTCTGTCACATGCTGCTCCTGCTGGGAGCCATGGGAAGCCCTCACTCCTTCTAAGCCTCATCCCACCTATTCGAAATGAGGTTGGGAGACCACCTCCTGGGGTGCAGAGCAGTACATGCAATAGGGGAGACAATGTACTGATTTGCTATTGTTTGAGTATCTATGTGACAACCATGTGGTAGATACTGAGGATAAAAGAGAAATTCCAACCCACTGGGTGAGACAGACAAGCCACTGGTTCCTCCTAATGTGCCAAGTGCTAGGATGGGGTCACACAGGAGGCCATGAGAAATGCCACAGGGGCCACAGAGCCTACTGGGAAGGCCAAAGGCTAATACCTGAGGATCAAGAGGTATGAGCCAGAATGTGAATGCCCAGGGAAGGGGCTATGCTAAACATCATGTAGCTATGCAGACAATGCATATACAAAAATAAGCACCTGGCCTCAGGCTTCAGCACCCACGGGGTCCCAGAGGAGTGACCAGGGCTCATGTGGCCCTTCTAACCTTCCACTGGCAGCACAAGAAAAGGAGGAGTGCTGAAAGACTTAGGGGTAAAATGTCATAGTGTCTAAAAAAAGGTGTGTGTGTATAAAGAGAAAGAAAGCAAATGTGGCAATGTGTTAACAACTGGTATTCAGGTGTTCATCATACTATTCTTTTGACTTTTCCATAAATTTGAAAATATTCAAAATGAAAACGTTAGGGGTGAGGATAGAAGCCAGAGCAATGTAGAAAGAAAATCTGTTTTACAACAAGATACCATATTTGCAGCAGCAAACTCATTTTACAAAACACATTACGAGTAAAGCCAAGCATGGTATCTTTCTAAAAGAAAAAAGAGAACATGCCCAAGAGACAGGACTGCTGAAAGAAAAACAAACTCTAGGACCTCTTGTGTCTCTCATGCTTGTTGACCAAGTCGCCACAATCAGCAGTGGGGGAGGCTCTTGGGTGAGCAGGAGACCAGCCACTGTCAGTGCCATCACCATAATTTTTTTTTTAATTTCAGCATATTACCGGAAGTACAAATGTTTAGGTTACATATATTGTCTTTGCCCCATCCAAGTCAGGGCTTCAAGCATGTCTATTCCCCAGACAGTGCACACTGCACCCATTAGGTGTGAATATACCCATCCCCTCCTCCCATGCCACCACTGTTACTACTGGAGCTAGGATTACCTGTGTTATTTTCCGTGTAGGAAACTCACCTGAAGTAATCACAGGACGCAGCCAGCAGGATGCGATGGGCCTCGATGTGTCTGCCTTCCACCACTAGGACAACATCAAAGAGGATCCCACTGTCCCGGAGAGCCAGCAGCCCCCGGAGCAAGGCCTGGGAGTGTTGCGCGCTGCGGTAGGTGTTGTTGATGCAGTGCTGGGAGGGCGGTGCCGGCAACTTGCACAGCTGGGTGAACTCCTGCTCCTCTGCCATCCTGATAGCCACAATACCCCTCACCACCGCGGCCCGTCAACTGGCAAGACAGGGGACAGGAGTGAGCAGGCAGACAGCACCCCCAACGTGCATGGGCTGGTGGCACCTGCTGCTCTCCATGCTCCTGTGCCTCCCACTAGCTCACCTGTGCTTTGCTTGGTATCCCAAGCCCCCTAACTCCCTCTCTCCTCACACTTCTGGTCCAATTTGGCCTTCTTCCTGAGGACCTGTATCCCTTCATCCCCAAGATCCTTCATCACATTTTATCTCCTTCAGCATCACAGTCAAACGGAACGGTTTTGGGAGATAGAATGACCCGGGTTGAAGCCCAGCTCCACCATGGACTTACAATATGACCAACCTGAGCTGCCCCGGTCCCTCATCTGTAAAAAGGGAGATAAAGTACCCACTCCATTGAGGTGTTCAAAACTGGTAAAATAATGAACATAAAGCACCAGCACATACCGGGTTCTCAAGAGCTCTTCCTCTCTCCCATTGAGAGAGAACAAAATTGGGCTTCTCCTGGCAGGAATGGATGCATAAAAATGTCAGGGGACCCAGACACACGGGTCTGGAGGTAGCGGCTGGGAGGGAGGGTTGTTTCTAGGACCTACCTTTACTGAGATTCAGAGAATCAAGCATAGTAACTTGGACTGGGCCTGATGCATTCAAGTTCGTCTGCATCATACTTTCAATTCAAGGTTACCTTCTAATAATTGAGTAGGCATGCACAAAAAATACAAACTGATTTCATTGGGAGCCTCAGAAACCCAACTGGTAAAACAAACCTATTGTAAATAGACTTTTGCCATGGACCAACCAGAAGTCACTGTGGAGAGCTGGCCACCCAGGGAAAGGGAGTGGCCAGTCCTGCACCACAAGGTATGGCCAAGCTGCATATTCTGTGGGTACAGCACAGCCTGTCAGCTACAAGACATGAACATCTGCCTCTCTGTCTCATGTCGCCCCACTTTGCTCTCCCCAAAATGTGTTTTTTCTCCAATTACTTACTACAGTCATGCATCACTCAGAACAAGGACATGTTCAGAGAAATACATTGTTAGCCAATTTCATCACTATGCAAAAATCATAGCGTGTACTGTTTACTTTTTGGTTTTCTTTACTAGAACTAAAACTACCATATGAAATAGAGTGTACTTACACAAACCTAGATGTTATAGCCTACTACACACTTAGACTATATGATATTGCTCCTAGGCTACAAACCTATATAGCACATTACTATACTCGTGAGTGGAAAAAACAGAAACTGTCCTCTTCTCTCACATAACAATCAACACAGAAGACTTCTGTGAACAAATGGGGGTGGGGGAGGCTTCCTGACCAACAAGGAAGTGATCAATTCTGCACCAGACACCAGCTGGGTGTCCCTCCAATTCAATTCAGACACTATACACCTGGAGACAGTGTCAGATCGCACGCAGGTTGAGGGCTCAGCCCCACAAGACTGCCCCCCAACTTCCAATGCCAACTGCAAGGCCCAGGTTGTTTTGCATTTTCCTCTGTCTGGCTACAAACTTGGGCTCCCATAACCCCCTCCTTAGGTTCAAATAATTTGCTAGTGTGGCTCACAGAACCCAGGAAAACAGTTACTTACGTTTACTGGTTTATTATAAAGGATATCACAAATGAAGAAATGCACACAGCAAGGCATGTGGGAAGTGGATGAGAGTATCTGTGCCCTCTCAAGAGCACCACCCTCCAGGAAACTCCACATATTCAGCCATCCAGAAGCTCTCCAAAGCCAGTCATTTTGGGTTTTTATGGAAGCTTCATTACATAAGCATGACCACTGGTGGTCATTGACCACTGGTGATCAACTTAACTTCAGCCCCCCTTTCTTCTCTGGAGGCTGGGAGGTGGGGCTGAAAGTCCCAACCCTCTAACATTGCCTTGGTATTTCCTGTGACCAGTCCCACTCTTAAAGCTTCCTAGGGGCTGCTGGCCAACATACAAAAAGACATCACTTTGGAGGTTCTAAGGATTTTAGGAGTTGTATGCCAGGAAATGGGATGAAAACAAGATACATATTTCACAATATCACAGCTAAATACTGTGGGCAGTTTTTAATACAATGATAAGTATCTGTGTATCTAAACATAGAAAAAGTACAGAAAAAATAAGCAATTACTATGAACAAATTCCTATGCACACTGTACATATCTTATTTTGAAGTATAAAAACAAATGGGCAAAAACACCCGCATGTGGCCGGCAGGCTATAGTTTGAGGACGCCTGGTCTGGTCGGTTGTTAATCGAAATGTTGGTATGTGGCACATGACAATGTATCTTTTTTTTTTTTTTTTTTTTTTTTTGGAGACAGAGTCTCACTCTGCTGCCCAGGCTAGAGTGCCATGGTGTCAGTCTAGCTCACAGCAACCTCAAACTCCTGGGCTCAAACAATCCTCCTGCCTCAGCCTCCCAAATAGCTGGGACTACAGGCATGCGCCACCATGCCCGGCTAATTTTTTTCTATATATTTTTAGTTGTCCAGCTAATTTATTTCTATTTTTTCAGTAGAGACGGGGTCTTGTTCTTGCTCAGACTGATCTTGAACTTCTGAGCTCAAATTATCCTCCTACCACAGCCTCTCAGAGTGCTATGATTATAGGTGGGAGCCACCGCACCCGGCCATGACCATGTATCTTTAAAAGTAAAAAATGACTCTGACTCGAGGGGGGAGGAGGGCATGGGAAATATATGTAACCTTAACACTTGTACTCCCATAATACGCTAAAATAAAATAAAAATTAAAATTAAAAAAAGCAAAAAAAGTAAAAAATGAAAAATATGCTAGGCACAATGGCTCATGCCCATAATCCCAGCACTTTAGTAGCCTGAGGCGGAAGGATTGCTTGAGGCCAGGAGTTCAAGACCAGCCTGAGCAACATACTGAGACCCTGTCTCTACAAAAAATAGAAAAAAATTAGCTAGGCATGGTGGCGCACCTGTAGTCCCAACTACTCAGGAGGCTGAGGCAGAAAGAAGAATTGCTTGAGGCCACAGTGAGCTATGATGATGCCACTGAACTCTAGCCCAGGCAACAGAGACTCTGTCTCAAAAAAAGTGAAGAAAGAATGACAGAAGGAAGGAATAAAGAAAGAAAAGAAAAAGAAAAAATGAAAAAAAAAAAGATCCTAATATAAAACTTGCCCAAAAGAAGAGGTCTCTCTCCTCACTACTAAGGTTCAGAAGGTCCTCTTCCTGGACCTGTTTGCTCTGGACCCTTCTAACTGCTTCCCATCACACACGCTCAATTGTCCTTTGTGCCTGCCCCCTTCCATCTGTGGCATAGACTTGGGACCTCTGCCCACCCGCTTATTCCTAACCCCCACCCTGGACTGACTGGTCTTTCTTTTTTATTTATCTTTTTTTTTCCCTGTCCTGAAATAATGCAATGACTGGTCTTTCTCAACAAAGCCCCAGAGATGGCAAGAGCTGAGGCATATCCCGTGTTGACCACCTCTTGTTTAGGATTCTCTCTTACCTGAAAACTCTGTCCTACAGCAATTCCCTCTTTTCAGATCTCTTCCTTTCATCCCATACACCCTGTTCCAGCCCACTCTTCTTTCCCAAGAGCTTGCATTCCCAATCACACCTCCAGCTCAGTGCCTAATCCAGCCAGTAGCCCTCCAACTGGTCTATTTTTGTTATTTGTACAGCTACTATTTCACACTGGAAATCTCTTGATCTCAGTTATTTCTTTACCTTTCTAACCCTTGTGCCCTATAAGACCCTCTAGTTCTGATTCCTTCTCCTCTCGCCTAGATCTGACAGCCACCCCCTACTCCTCCAAGGCCACCACTCTGAGTCAGACCTCAGCAATGAGCCCCAACCAGTTTCCCTACTTCTTGCTTCATCCTCCCCAGGCTCCATGGAGGTACCCAAACTCCCCCGGTGAATGCACTACCTGAATTCTCAAGTGCTGGCTCCCTGCTACCTCCTGCTACCTCCTGCTCAGGCTCCTGTGAGACTCTCCTTCAAGTTTTTCCTCCCCTGCTCCATCACTAGTCCTTAAACTAAAAGGGATACCTGTCATCCTCTGAATACCTTCAACCTCCCACCTACACCTTTCTGTCTCTCATAACTGCATATTGGTCAAGGTCTAGCTCATTTGCTTCTCCCTCTGTCACAGTATCAAGAAGACAACAAAAAATGCTTCACCACTTGAACTTGTCTAATCCACCTACCACAAGGAGATTCCAGGACTTTAACTCACAAACATCTCAAAGCCCCCAAGGATGGCTGTAGCACTTGCTAACCACAGACTCTGAGCGTCTGGCTCATACATCCAAGCTTCAGCTTCCTCATCACCACCATGGCCACAAGGGCCTCTTTCTCTAGGGGTGACCATGAGGACTGACTGCCTCAACAGATGATGAGCCCCCAAGTGGAGTCCTTACCTGCTATGAGCACAGTAGTATCTCTGCCATCTTGGGAAACAGGACTACTTCCTTGAGCAGACAAAGCACATGTATCAAGCACAATTTAAGAAACTGAGCTTCATCTGAAGATGAGTATAACAAAAAAAATAAAATAAAATAAAAAAAAAAAAGAAACTGAGCTAGGTGCTGAGGAGGGGGTATGAAGAAAAGTGAACCAATTCCCTGCTGTGAAGCAGCACAGCACAGAGTGCAACAACACTTAAGACCACATATATAAAGTAACACTGGCCATCACCAAAATGTACATCCTCAGGAGAACAGGTAACATGGCACAGAGATTCAACAGTACACTCTAGGCAACAGTTAAAATAAGCAAACTAGAACTCAAGCTGTAGTCATCAGAGTGGAAAAAAATCTCAAAGCCATGCAGAGAGAAAACAGAAAACTGCAGAATATGCATGGTACAATTTCACTTACAAAAAGTTTGGAAACACACTAACAATATTATCCAATATTGTTCATAGATAGGTATTACCGTATTAATATAAAACAGCATAAACACGTTTATAGGAATGATAAATGCCAAATTCAGAGTCATAATTTTCTTCAGGATGGAAAAAGGGAATGTTCATTACTTAAAAACAAATCATGTAAGACAAGCCAAAAAAAGACCTGACAGGGATCTGTTATTCCCTATACTTTCCTGTCACTTTGAAATGTTTAGTAAAAAATTCTCAAACATATTTTCCAATATGTAATACCTTCACGTGATTCAAATTCAAAAGGCAAAAAAAGGATATTATAAAACTCCAATTGCCTTCCCATCTATGCCCCAACCACATCCTCTCCCAGAGGAAACTACTATTCCACTTCCCTGCATACTCTTCCAGAAGGGATACACAGAATCTCAGGTGAACCTATCAATCTATAACATTTCTTCTTCATTTTTACTAGCTTTTGCACAACCTCACACCTCTTCCATGGTCTCCTGTACGAATAAGTACATTTTATTTCACCAATCCTAGTGAGAGACATCTGGGTTTCCTCTAATTGTTTGCTTTTGCAAATAGCTGTACACAGAAAATCATTTAAATATGCCACACACGCAGCAGATATCTGAGGAAAATCTCCTAGATACAGAACTTCCAGGTCATTTTAATTTTAATGTATAACTGGATGTGTCATTTTAATGGACACTATCAAATTGCCCTCCATAGAGGTTGTACCAGTTTATTCTCGCACCATTCAAAGTATGAGAACCTGATAGAGACCACTAGCTTACCAATAGTGTTTCTTTTTAATCTTTGCTGATTTAGATGAAAAACGACATTTCAGAGTATAACTATATAACTGACACTTTTAAAGATAAAAAAGTCAAAATGTAGCACATCCTTTGTGATTCCTTTCCAATGCCTGTTTTCCTCAAATGAAGTATGCTCTTAAAGCTCACTCAGTGGCACCCTCGTGTCCCCCTTTTCATTTGACAGACGGTTACCCTATCCTGAATCCTTCCCTAGATTAAGTCTCTCCCAGTCCCCAATTCTAGTCATATCAGCAAGGTCCCTCAGGCCTGAGCTGTTCAAAGCTTTAGGGGGAGCAGAAAAGAAGCTTTATGTCCCAAGTAGGTACAAACTGAAAGACATTAAAATGAATTTTTACGAACTCACAAATGACAGTCGAAAGCATTTTAGAGGCATTTTGAACTCAACACCACTTCCGAGCACATACCCTCAGTCTTTGAAGGGCCCCAAACAGCAGTGTCTGCCTTCAGCGAGCCCCAAGCTTGGCAACATAAAGTTAAGGTCTGCGGCAACGGGTCGGGGCTGGGGGGGGGTCCCAATTTCCTGAGGGGACGCGCTCTGGAACGAACATCCCAGAGAGCAGACTTGGGCATCTCTGCGCCCAGCCCGGCCCCGCGAAGGGCGCGGGGAGGACCAGGGGCAGAAGGCAGAGGCGCCCGCGCTGCGGCCCCAGGTCGGTTCTGGTCGGCCAGCCTGGAACGCAATAAAACGGAACTGGCAGCCGACGCTTAGCCATCAGGCGGTTTTTGCACTGACAGCGCGGTCGCCGACTTCCCTCAGGAAAGCGGGCGAGCTGCTGGCTGGGCTCTCACGGCCAGGCCCCCGGCTGCGGAGACTGAGGCCGGGCCGCCCGAGGTCTGAGGTCGGCCAGGTGACCGGGCCGGCCCGAACCGCCCGCCTGTTGCAAGACGCGCCGCGCCGCCCGAGGGTCGCCGCCGGGAAGGCCGCGCGGGAGCGGCCGCAGGCAACAGGCCTGCCCAGGGCGAGGAGGCCCGGGGCCCGAATGCCAGGGACCCCGGAACCCCGCCCGCGGCTGAGCGCCAGCTCCCAGCCCGCCACGCCTGGGGGTCCCGCCGGCCGCACCCCCGCCACGTCAGGCCGCGAGCTCTCCTCAGGGCGCCGACCCCGCGCCTCAGGCCCACGCCCGCCCCCGCGCCCCGCGCCGCTCACTTGCCCCCTGCCCGCGCCCACCCGCACGCAGCCCGGCGCCCGCGCTCCCCGCTACCCGGCCCGGCCCGCCCCGCCCGGCCCACGCCTCGCAGCTGACCTGGTGCCGCCGAAGCCGAGGCCTCACTCGCAGAAGGCGGGAGGCTGCAGGCGGGGCGAGCGCCAGGCCTGCAGGGCGGGACCTCGTCCGTCACGTGGGCGCCGCGCAGGCGCAGTCGGCTGAGAGCGAAGAACTGGGGGGTGAGGGGCGGCCGCGGGCGTGGGTGGCGCCGGCTCTGACGTGACTCCCGGAGCCCGCGGGGACCCACGAACGAATGAATGAATAAATGAACGAACGCCTTTGGGCGAGGATCGCGCCGTGGAAATCCATTTCTTTTTTCACTCCCTTGTTCACTTCTTCATTCCCTCTTCTCCCTCCCTCCCTGACTCCCTGTGTCACTCACTCATTCCTCCCTTCACTCATTCATTCCCTCCTTCACTCTCATTCACGCACTCATTCCTTCCTTCACTCGTCCATTTCCTCCTTCACTCATTCCCTCCCCCATTCCCTTCTTCACTCATTCCCTAGCTCCTTCACTTGTTCACCCCCTCCTTTAGAGCAGACAGTGCCACTGCAAGGCGTGCGCCCCCTCCTGGGTGCTGGGAAGAACAGCCGAACACAGTCGATGTGAACAGGTGCTAGCTTCTTTCCAGCTTTACTGAGATCTGGGAGTAAATCCTGGGCCCAGTCCTAAGGCCTGGTCCCCCCATCCAGGCTCTTGACATTCGTTTTTCTCCGCTTCACCTGCAAGAGGAGCCCACCTTCCGAGGCGCACCCTTACCGGCCGGCCGTGTGCAGAGGTTGGCGCCGCCTCCTGATGGATGGGGTCCTGTCGGGGGAGTGTCCCACCTGGTTTTGAGAGGGATTGCGCAGGATGTGGAGAGACGTGGAGAGAGGATATGGCAGGAGGTCATTCGTGGTTAAAAACAAAGGTGGAGAGGAATGTAAAAGACGAAGAAGATAAACGAAAGAGAACCGCTGTCAGCCCAGAGAGCTACCTGAGGGTCCAGACAAGGGCTGGGAGAGCAAGACCAGCCTCCAGGAGTGGAGGGAGCAGCCTCCAGGAGTGGGCTTCCTTCCAGCAAGACTTTCTAGAGGAAGCCCCCCACACACACCAGCTGTCTAACAGAAGAGGACTTCTGGGGAGTGAGAAAAGCATTCCAGGAAGGGAATAGCAAAGGTACGCAGGTGAGATCCTGACACGTGAGTGGTATAGAAATTGCTGGGATTTTCTGAGCCTGAAGGGAAGGTTGCAGACCCGATCCTGCCTTCCTCACTTCGGGCTGGAAGTGAGGACACAAGGCGGAGCTGGCTGGAAACCTGGCAGGGGGCAGGTTCCACAGTATGGGCCAGTGATGGGTGGGGAGGGGTGAGCCCAAAATATGGCTGGGGATGATGGGCCCAACCTGGCCACAGTGGGTCTGGAGTAAGAGCAGGTTTGAGGGAAGACAAGGCTCAGCTTGGCCCCAAGCAGGGTGAGGAGCCTGCAGATGCCCAGCAAGGGCCTTTCTGGGTGGTGTCAGGTGGGAGGTGAGGGCAGGGGCCTATCACACACCACAGTTGGAAGTGGTGAGCTGAGCTGGAACACATACTGGGGAAAGGATAATGGCTGAGGGCAGAAGCATGAGGCACAGTGGGGTTCCTGCAGGAACCCGCAGAGAGCCAGGGGAGGAGTGATCTCAAAGGCCCAGTGGGACAGGGTGTAAGGGTGGACCCAGAGGAGAGAGAAGGAGAAGCCCTGGAGCTGCAACAGGGAGGCTGCTGTGGTGTGAATATTGGTGTCCCCCCAAGATTCATGTTGGAACTTAATCCCCAATAGGATAGTATTATGAAGTGGGGCCTTTAGGAGGTGATTAGGTCATGAAGGTGAAGCCTTTGCCAATGAGATTAGTACCCTTATAAAAGAGGTTTGAGGGAGCTCACTCACCTCTTTTGCCATGTAAGGATGTCGCAAGAGGTGCCACCTTCAAGGCAGACAATAACACTGAATCTGCTGGCACCTTGACCTTGGACATCCCAGCCTCCAGAACTGTGAGAGATACATTTCCATTGTTTATAAGTTACCCAGTGTGTAGTACTTGGTCATAGCAGCACACACGAACTGAGGCAGAAATGGGTACTGGGAAGTGGGGTGCTGCTGTAACAAATGCCTAAAAGTGTGGGAGCAGCTTTGGAATTAGGTAATGGGCAGAGGCAGAAAGGGTTTGGAAGTGAATGCTAGAAAAAGCCTATATTGCCATGAACAGAGCATTAAGGGAAATTCTTGTGAGCGCCCAGAAAAAGAGGAGAGTTGTAGAGATACCTCAACCTTCCTATAGATTACCTAAGTGGTCATGATCAGATGCTGGCCATTCTGATGAGGTCTCAGATGGAAATGAAGAACGTGTTATTGGAATCTGTAGGAAAAGCCATTCTTATTATAAGTTTGTGAAGAACTTGAGTGAATTGTGTTCATGTCCTAGTATTTTATGGGATTTTTTTTTTTTTTTGAGACAGAGTCTCACTCTGTTGCCTGGGCTAGAGTGCCGTGGCATCACCCTAGCTCACAGCAACCTCAAACTGCTGGGCTCAAGCGATTGATCCTCCTGCCTCAGCCTCCTGAGTAGCTGGGACTACAGGCATGTGCTACCATGCCCGGCTAATTTCATATACATATACATATATTAATTAGCCAATTAACTTCTTTCTATTTTTAGTAGAGACGGGGTCTCACTCTTGCTCAGGCTGGTTTTGAACTCCTGACCTTGAATGATCCTCCCGCCTCGGCCTCCCAGAGTGCTAGGGTTACAGGTGTGAGGCACCGTGCCCAGCCCATGCAATGTTATAAACTAGGATATTTGATTGAAGAAATCACTAAGCCAAGTGTTGAGGTGGCTTCTCTTGACTACTGCTTATAGTAAAATGTGAGAAAAGAGTAACAAATTAAGGATGGAATTTATAATCAAAAGGGAAGCAGAGGCCGGGCGCGGTGGCTCATGCCTATAATCCTAGCACTCTGGGAGGCCGAGGCGGGCGGATTGCTCAAGGTCAGGAGTTCAAAACCAGCCTGAGGAGACCCCATCTCTACTATAAAAAAATAAAAATAAATTAATTGGCCAACTATATATAAAAAATTAGCCGGGCATGGTGGTGTATGCCTGTAGTCCTAGGTACTCGGGAGGCTGAGGCAGAAGGATTGCTTGAGCCCAGGAGTTTGAGGTTGCTGTGAGCTAGGCTGATGCCACGGCACTCACTCTAGCCTGGGCAACAAAGTGAGACTCTGTCTCAAAAAAAAAAAAGGGGGGGGGGAAGCAGAACTTAAACATTTTGAAAATCTCAGCCTCGGCATGTTGTAAAAATGAAAGGACTTGTCGGGGAGAGCACCCACAGTGTGGCCAAGCAGCCCTTTGATAGGAGTTTAGCACGGACCAGCAGAAACCAGGTGCTATTCATCCAGACAGTGGAAGGATGACCCCAGAGGCATATTGGTGATGATCAGTGCTGCCCCTCTCATCCCAGGCCCAGAGTGCCAAGGCCTGGGGAACAGAAAGATGTCATTTTATACCCATAATAATTAAAAATAAAAAAAATTCTAAAAAGAGTGAGCTTGGACAGAAAGACAAATCTTGCATGCTCTTGCTCATGTGTGGGAGCTAGATATTAAAAACAATTGATCTTGGCCGGTCGCGGTGGCTCACACTCTGGGAGGCTGAGGTGGGAGGATCACTGAAGGTCAGGAGTTTGAGACCAGCCTGAGCAAGAGCAAGACCCCGTGTCTACTATAAATAGAAAGAAATTAGCCAAAACAACTAAAAATAGAAAAAATTAACTGGGCATGGTGGCATATGCCTGTAGTCCCAGCTATTCTGGAGGCTGAGGCAGGAGGATCACTTGAGCCCAAGAGTTTGAGGTTGCTGTGAGCTAGGCTGATACCATGGCACTCTAGCCCAGGCAACAGAGCGAGACTCTGTCTCCAAAAATAAAAAATAAAAAAATATAAAAAAATAAAATAACTAAAAGAGTGGAATTGGAATGTTCCTAACATAAAGATGATAAATGCTTGAGGTGATGGATACCCTAATTACCCTGATTTCATTAATTCACATTGTATGCCTGTATCAAAATATCACATGTACCCTATAAATATATACAACCATGTACCCATAATAATTAAAAATAAAAAAAAAATTTTAAAAGAATGGTTGCCAATGTCCTCATTTGCCAGCAAATTAATAAATTCCTCTTTCCTTCTGCTCAAAAAAAAAAAAGGTAAAATTAAAAAAGAGTGGGCTTGGGCACCCCTGGGACCACACTCAAGCCTGTGCTCCCCACGTTCTGCAGTGCTTGTTGGCTGTCCCGTGTGAGACTCCGGTGGGCCCAAGCTCGGGGCAGGCTGCAATGGCCACCCCTCCAGGGGGCACAGGTAGTATAGCTTATTGTCCATGTGGTGCCATCTCCACCATCGCACAGAGTGCACTGGCTATGGGGTATGGCTACCTCAACCTAGATTTCTTTTGTTTTTTTGTTTTTTTTTTTTGAGACAGAGTCTCACTTTGTTGCCCAGGCTAGAGCGAGTGCCGTGGCGTCAGCCTAGCTCACAGCAACCTCAAACTCCTGGGCTCAAGCAATCCTGCTGCCTCAGCCTCCCAAGTAGCTGGGACTATAGGCATGCACCACCATGTCTGGCTAATTTTTTCTATATATATTAGTTGGCCAATTAATTTCTATTTATAGTAGAGACGGGTCTCGGTCTTGCTCAGGCTGGTTTCAAACTCCTGACCTTGAGCAATCCGCCAGCCTCGGCCTCTCAGAGTGCTAGGATTACAAGGCGTGAGCCACCGGGCCAGTCGCAACCTAGATTTCAATGGATTCCCTAGAGAGCTTTGAGGATGGCCGGGTAGAGAACCACAGGGGTGTCGCCACCACAGACAGCCCTCACAAGAACAGTACCCAGCAGAGCCATGGGGGCAGGGCAACCCCTGAGACCCCAGACCAGTAGAGCCACCAACATGCAAACCAGCCTGGACGACCACAGGCATGCAACTCCAATGAGTGACAGCTGCTATGTGGGCTGCACTCAGCAAAGCCAGAGTGTTCAGAAGGCAGGAAATGAAGGCAAAGATAATTCTCAAACTTTAATATTGTCTGCCCTGTTGGGTTTGGGATTTATTTGGGATCTATTACCCC